GCAAGTAGATTCTCTAACAGATATATAACAATGTGAATGGTAAGGATTATTTAATAGGCTTAGATATTTAGATATATGGCTCAGACAAGATAAAAATCTTAAATTTCACTAAATCTACCAAACACAAAACTGTGGCCCACACCTTGATAATCCTAGCCTTCAGGGGAGAGTTGAGGCAGGAGGATCAGAGCTAGCCTGGACTATGTTCTAAGTTTCTGTCAGCCTACACTTCACAGAAATATCCTGCCTCAAAAAAGTATAATTATATAAAATAAGCAGGGTAAACTCAGAAATAAAATGGTTATGAATCAGATATGTGAAAATAAGACTGATTTTATACTTTCGTATCACAGATAAATAAAGGTAAAAAAACATTTTGTTATATACAACTTTAAGCTCTGAAATGTCCAAAATTATGTAATAAAATAAGCAGCCTTAATAAATTACTCTGTTTTGTAGTTTGTTTGAATTTGGAGATAAAGCCTCACTAAGAAGCCTTGAGTTACCAGGAGCTCCCTGTGTAGACCAGGCTGGCCTTGAATTCAGAGATTTGCCTGTTTGTATTGACCCTTTGGATTAAAGGTGTGAGTCACCACACCCAGTCGACTAATTATTCTTAAAATGAAAACGTGCAATTTATATGTTTGTTATTTATTATTCTTAACTCTAAGAGATCTATTTATAAGTTGCCAGACTGAAACAAAGGTGAGTAAATACATAAACTACCCAGTTTGAATTCCAAGGAACACAATAGAATATGGATGCTGCAAACTCCAGCCTTGATAAGAGAAATGATGGATAAAAAGACATGTTTTCTCATTTATGAATTTTCTAATACCAAATGACAGCCTGTCCGTGCCATGCCAGTGTCTTTCGTAAATAGATTCACCATGGCCTGCATTTGCAAATAATAACACTTAGGCACTGTTTAATCCAGAAGATTTCTAGAATTTTATTCCAAAGGAATCATTCCCAGCAATGAAGTCTCCTGTGAGAAGATGCTTGTCAGTCATTTATAATCATAAAGATGTCACTTTCAGAGTAAAGTGGAATAATGCACACCCATGAATAATAAAACACTGGTGAGATTACACAGCAATCCAAGCAATGCTATGATACAAGGTGGCAAAGATGGCGCCATTTATGTGACTGCAAAGGTGTAAATACCCCAGAGCTATAGGGGTGACACCTCATTATCAGGGGGCAAAATTCAGAATGATTTTCTTCTGCATCCTTATTTTTTTTGCCCCTTTTGAAACATTGTTTGAACACATTGAAAACACTGTATTTCTTCTCTGAAATTCATATCTTCCCCCAGTATCTATATGCTTACTCATCTATTCATTTATGTAGCCAGTTGTTTTGAGACAAGGTTTATCTGGCCTCAAAATCAAGATCCTTCTGCCTCAGCCTCCCAAATTCTGGGATTACAGGTGACCGCACTCAACATCTGTTTTTAAATATTATAGACACCCATATGTGACATTAAAGAGCAATAACATATTTATACTACTTACATCAGGGGATTGGAATACCATCTATGTAACAGTCATATTGCATATGTCTCTAGAAAGCCATCCACTCACCTTCCAGAAATCATATTCCCAACTGAAAAGAACCAAACCCCTTAGGATTGATTAGGAATTCCAAAACTGATACCTTGAATATTTACTTCCTCATGAGACTTTACTCTCATGAAGAAAGATGACACTGTCGATTAGACACGATTTCAGAAATGCCCTCCAGTGACTGTGTTACAAAAGATGTGCTGCTTTCATGATTATTAGCACTCAAAGCGCCAGGCCCCAGTGCTGTGGTCATCTCATCGGAGCTCAAAGGTTTGTGATTCAGAGGCCTCTGTTTCATAGCAGAGACTGCTATGTTCAACACACAGCAGCACGAACCCTGAGGATTGTCAGGAAACTCTCCATGAGCAGCGTTGTGCTGTGGCAGAGCATATGTGCACTGTCCCAGAGGCATAAACACACGTCATGGGTTTGTGACAGAGGATTAAGGGGAGGCAGTCTGTGGACTAAGTCAATCTGTGTTCCTTATGCCAGGGTGTTGGAGGAGACCTCATATTCATCCCAGCTGCCCAGAACCAAAATAATCACACATAAAACTATATTCATTAAAATACTGCTTGGCCCATTAGCTCTATCTTCTTACTGGCTAACTCTTACATCTTAATTTAACCCATTTCTATTAATCTGTATATCACCATGAGGTCATGGCCTACCAGCAAAGTTCCAGCATGTCTGTCTCCAGTGGCTCCATGGCTTCTCCCCTACTCCACCCTTCTTTCTCCCGGCATTCAGTCCAGTCCTCCCTGACTACCTAAGTTCTGCCCTATCAACAGGCCTAGATAGTTTCTTTATTCAATAACAGTAATCACAGCACACAGAGGATACTCTAACATCACCAAGGGCAGGAGAAACTTCAGCATAATATCAAGGTGAAACCACCTGTTTCCAAGGGCCAGTGTGACGGGGAGCCTCCTGGGATCTGCTAGTTCATGTGAAGGCTGTAGGGCCTCCGTTCTTGGTATGCTCGAGACCATAAACCTTTCTATCAGCCCTCTTGTATTTAACAGAGCCAGGAAATGGGCACAAAATCCCAGGAGAATGTGTCTGCTCTCCCCAGGAATTACTCCATTTTGTTGTAGAGACAGAGTGTACAGTCAGGCCAGTCTGAAGGAAGGTTAAAGAAACTTAGAGCATCTTTGCTGGTATCATCACTTAGCCCACTTCCCTGACTGACGAAAGATTTTGTATCCCCCGTGCACTAGGGAACACCTTCTCGGCAGAGCAGGGCCCTCTCTGGGAACAAGCCACTCACTTGGGTGCATCTGTATTCATGTTTTCTCTTTTCTTTAACTCTCTTTCCTCACTTCCTCTGTCTATAGGGAAGTAAGTACATAACTCCAAAGGGCAAGGTCTTTGTAAAAAGAGGCACACCAGAGGGATCCAGGAGAAGCATTGCTTCCATGTTCATAGTGGTTGAGGCCTCCTGTGTACACATGTGTGCCTGTTAGTGGTTGAGGTCTCCTGTGTGCACACGTGTGCCTGTTAGTGGTTGAGGCCTCCTGTGTGCACACGTGTGCCTGTTAGTGGTTGAGGCCTCCTGTGTGCCTGTTTTGCAGAAAGCTGTCAAGTCCTTGGGGAAAGAGCAGTTTGCTGAAATGCTAGCTATTTTCTGCTGTCACTGCAATGCCAAAAGCTTGGTGATTTCGTCTCATTACCGTGACATTAGTCTTGAGATCCGTGCTACATTCACAGTGACCAGTTAAGGCCTGTCACTTGCCAAGTGGGATCTGAGTCCTGGGGGTGATTTTATTTTTGGTTTATCATCATGAAGACATGGATGAATTTCAGCTCCCAGGTGGTTCTCTTCCTCCCCTGGAGACAGAATTAGGATCACTACAATATAAGCATGCAGGAGAAATCACTATCAAGTATAGTGAATGTGATTATTTTATGTGGTGACATACGTTACAGTAAATAAAATTAAGACAGATTTTCTGGAAATACTTCATCTTCTTTCCCAAACTTGTTTGTCTTGCAAGTTCTGGAAGCCCTTGTGCTGGCCGCCCACTTTCAACGTCTTACGTCTTCCTGCTTTCTCAATGACCTATACTCAGCCACTGGGGGTTTTGTGAACATTTCCTCCTTGCTGTCATGAAGGTCTTCTAAATCCCGTCACCTCACCTTTCTGCAGTCTGCCTCTGCCCTCTGAGGGAGTAATTTCACCAAAACACATTCACGAATCTATTTTTCTAAGTACCACAGAGATGCTTTCACATCCATGGTATGAAACAGCCAGGGTTATGAAACCAACCAGCACCCAGCAACACAGAGGTGGACGGAATGTGGTCCACAGGCAGTAGGATCGCATCAAGTCACAATGAAGAGCTAGGTTACACTGTTTGGGAGGAAATGGTATGACAGGAGAGCATCCTACTAAGGGAACTCAGCCCATCTCAGAAAGACATCGTGGCTCCTATTTGTGATTCCTACATTTTATATAGAAACCTTACATTGTCTATGACATGAAAGCAGAAATCAAACAAGGTGTGTTGACAGAGGTTTTTGTCCTGCCCGGTCCCACTGTCATTCAGTCCCAAAGAAATACACAGAGGTCTACATTAATTATAAAATGGTTGGCCTATTAGCTCAGGCTTTTTTATTAGCTCTTATAACTTACATTAATCTGTTATTTTTGTCTGTGTTAGCCACATGGCTTGGTACCTTTAATCAGTGAGGCATTTTTATCTTGCTTTTTTTGAGTCTGGGCTATGACCGTAGACTGACTGTTTTGTTTTGTTTTTCCAGAATTTTTTTGATTTTGTTTGCCCTGCCTGGCTACTGGCCAATCAGCATTTTGTTAAAATAATACATGTGACAGAATACAAGACCATTGTCCCACAGCACAACAAAGGAGAATAAAGGGAGGGTGAAGCCTAAGGAAGAACATGTTCAGTGTACTATACACATTTATATGAAAATGTCCTTTCATAAACAGTATTGGGCTCGGTGAATATATACAAGGAAAAAAACTGTAAAGAAGTAAATTTTACAATTTCTTTTCTAAGAATCACAGTACCGAATCTACCATGACATCAAGCCCAGCATGCTAATCGTGAACCCAGCTCCCAGCCTCCTTTTCCAGGTCTCTTTTTCTCAATATTCTGCTGAAATACACAAACCCTCCTGCTTCTGTGCTTTCAGCCAATCTCAAATTCCCATCTGCATCTCCACTCTTTGCCCTTTCAGCATCCTATTTCCAAGAAACTTTCCATAAGCCCCAACTCCAAATATCCTCACCAGGGTAGCATCTTACAGAAAGCACATCTGTTCGACCATACCTGTGCACATTCTAAACAAATATTAATAGTTTGGGAAGCAAAGGGTGTTTCCCTTCTCAAAGTAGCTAGCACACTGGTTTAAAACAGTAACTGACATATTTACTAAATGCCTGATTTTTTTCCCTTTTCTTTTCAGTGGCGCCACCCCCCTATACTTATGACCACGAGATGGAATATTGTACAGACTTGCCTCCACCATACTCTCCGACCCCTCAAGCTTCAGCCCAGCGCTCCCCACCTCCTCCTTATCCTGGAACTTCAAGGAAACATTCCTCCTCCCACAACAGAATATGTGCTAATTAGCAATTTTTTGCCAGAACGGAATGCCTTGATTTAGTAACATGTAAAGCAAATGATTGTCTACTGGTTAAGGACAGATAATATCTCAGGCAGAATGCCCATGTGGATACCAGGGTTTCTACCCTGCTCAGAGTTGACCCTACGTGTAGATTTCTGCTTGGTTCTCTGCAGTCACATATTACAGGATCTACTGATCCACACAAGCACTATCAGATTAGAGCAATGCGCTTGGCAGGCCCTCAGCTAATCTTGCTGCTTTAGAACTACCTGAAGGAAATTTTAACATTGAACCTGGAAGAAAGAAGAAAAGAGGATAGTCTGAATTCTGTCAGGAAACAGGTGTATTCCGTATAGCTTTAGTAGAACAATAATTGCTCATAATTTTGTTTGTCCACACATAAGCATTAAGTGCCTTCAAGTCTATTCTGTGTCGGCACCATTAGAGGCACTGGATGGAAGAAACCAGAAGGAACTTTTGGTTTTAGCACAGGCATACCTCATCTTGTTGCACTTTGCCCTTTTGCACTTTCCAGGTGTTGCATTTTTTACACCATGAAGGTTCATGGTGACCTTGCACCAAACAATATCATTCACCTAGCAGTAGGAGCTCACATCCTATCTTTGTATCACATTTGGTAATTCTCACAAAATTTCAAATGCCATTGTTGTTGTTATTATGTCTGCTATGGTGATCTGTGATTGGCTAACAGTTGATGCTGCCATAGTAGTCTTCTGCTTTGTTTTGAACTCTGTCCCTATAAGACAGCGAGCTTAGTACATTCATAAGTATTGTGTGCACTGTGTCTGCTCCACTGAAAAACTCCTCCCCTTACCCTTTCTTTCTCCACCCTTCCCCTCTCTTTTCTGAGAACAGTATTGAAATTAGGCATATTATTAATCCAACAATTAACTCTAAGTGTGGAAGCTAAAAGAAGAGGAATGTAGCTCTTGCTTTAAACTCAAAGCTGGAAATGATTCATCTCGGTGAGAAAGGCTTGGTCTGGGATAGGCTGAAAGGTTGGTGTCTTATACCAGTTCTAAACATAAATGGTAAACTAAGCTCCAAACATAAATGGGGATTTCTTGAAGGAAACTAAACTTATCTCTTTCCAAGCACGTGTAAAGAAAGAGACAGGTGACCCATTGTTCATAAGGAGGACTCTTTAGTGGTATGGGTAGCAGATCAAAACATCCACATTCCCTTAAGTCATAAAGCTTAATTCAGAGTTAGGACTGAACTCTCTTCCTCCTACAGAGGTGGGCAGGGGTGAAAATGCTGTAAGAGAGAGATTTGTAGGTCAAGAGATCAGGTCCTGAAGTGAAGTAGAGGAGCTTCCTCTCCAACAGCAAAGTGTAGGCCTCAGCCTGTTCTCCCACAGACCAAGTTAGGATTGCACATAAAGATAGTTACAATAAAATGAAGTCTAGATGAAAGTAAAGGGCACTACTGTCGGTAGACAAGGCCTTTAGAACTTCCACACTCAGCAGAAAGAAGCCATCCTATCTCCAAAGCCTTGAAACATAGGCTGCCTTTCTTGTTAGTGTCTACGACACAAATGGCAACCTTCAGATAAAGCCAATACCCAATGTTCATTTACTAGACAAAAATTCTTAAGAATATACTAAATCTACTCAGTCTATATATAGAACAAGCAAGTCAATTTTCAATGTAGTCTAATGAATATTTTAAGCCAAGTGTTGGGATTTACTGCTCAGGGGAAAACAAGATTCATTTCAAAATGTTCCTACTCATTGGCAAGGCACTGGTCAACCAAGAGCTCACATGGAGATGTAGAAGAGACAAAGATGTTTTCATGTTACTCATGTTCAAGGCCTACTGTGTCCCATAGACTATGGGTAACTTCACGCTTCAAGCCTTACTACTTAAGAACTGTCTTTTATAAGGTCATAGCTGACATAAAAATGGGATCTTCTGGAGGTTTGACAAAATACATTAGAGGCATCCTGGAAAGAACTCGCCATTGTACAAACCATTAAAATCATCCATGATTCATGAAAACAGATCAGAATGTCAATATTAATATTTATCTGGAACAAGTTGCTTTTAACCCTCATGCATAATTTTGGCAATTTGAAGACTTTGGTGGAGGAAGAACCTACAGATATGGTAGAACCACAAAGGAGCCGAATTAGAGATAGAATTTAAAGGTTTTTACTCAATTACACCTTGTGATATCACTGCCAGATGAACAATTGCTCCTTATGAGTGAGCCCTGAAAAGTGGTTTCTTTGGGTGAAATATACTCCTGGAGAAAGTGCTGTGGGCAGAGATGACATGATAGTACAGGGTTGGCTTTTAAGTCATTTGATAAGTCAGCAGCAGAATTGGAGATGACTACTAATTTGAAGGAAGATACACTGTTTATTAAAAGCTACCAAAGAGCATCACATGCTACAGAGAAGCCATTTGTAGACAGCAGGCTTCACTGTCATTTGAAGGAACTAACAGCCATCCAGCTTCAGCAACCACCAGGCCTTTTATCAGCCATAAAATATTTTTAATACAGGTGTATACAATACTTTGAAGAAACTTAATAAATGCAGTCTAAACATAACTTTAATGTGCGCTGGGAAAGCAGAAAGTGTTCTTTTGTGAATTCTGTGATTCTCTTGTGAAATTTGCCTTACAAGAAACTCAGGCAGCTTCACTGGGGACATGGAAGAAGTATTGCTGATAAGGGTAGATGATCAAACCAATGCTGTCTCTAAGATCCACCTGTAAAAAATACAAACAGTTGCAGCAGGATTATTGTTGACTATAAATTTTGTGAAGATCCCTGTCATCCCATTAAGATTTCAAACAAAGTCTAGCTATGCAGTAAAGAAATATTCTAGAAAGGATTTCTAAAGAGCAGATTAGTCCTTTCAACTTCAATTTTTTTTTTGCTTATGTTTTAGGAGGATATAAAATGACCGGTTGTATCTCCAGTAGATTAATCTTATTCACTAAATAAGATTTGTGAATCCACTAAATAATCTAATTCATTAAATAAAATAAAAGGTGCCCAACAGGTTCTGGGAGCTAAAATCACCTTAATTATTACAAACCCCTCCTAAAAACCCCTTGGCTTTAGTCTTTAATGTGATGAAGTTGCTCTAACTGTGGAATAAATGTTGAGAACCATGTTCCCAGAGATTTTATATCAGTAATAAAATGCCAGAATTTGACCATATACAACAGACTTTTTTAAAGGGGAAAATAAAATTTGATTTCTTTCTATAGAAATATGCTCAAATGTAATAGCCAATTTTTTATATTTTATAAACTTCAAATAATCTATTCTTTTAGAAAAGTTACATAATTAATGGAAAAAATAAGGAGGCACCCTTATCTTTTATGCAAGTACAGATTTTTATGAAGTGCTTACCTTTGGATGTAAAGGCAGTCAATAAATAATTCAAATGTGCTCTAGTCTACTGCCAGTGGCCTTAACATTTGTATTTTTATGGCGGTCCTTCTGTGTATGTTTAAACTGTTTGCTGAACACTGGGTATAGATGATGAGACTTTTCTGTCTCTTTAAAAGGGAGCCTAAAACATTTAATACAATATCATGATTATAATTCATTGACATTCCAAAATGACACTAAGAAACTTGACAAATAACCAAAAGAAATAGTTGGGGAAACACTATGAGTGAGCAGTGGCTTTTATTGTAACAAATATCTGTATTAGAAATGTGTTGATCTGTCTGAACCTGGTCTGCAGTGAGGTATTAAGGCTCGATTTGTTTGGAATGACTTGCTTGGCTTAGGCGAGGATAATCTTAGGAAGATGAGAAGCCTTCAGGGGCTCCTGACTGTTCTGGTGAAAGGCTCCATGTCTCGCAGGAAGTATTAGCATCGTGTTAACAGTCCACAAGCTTTAATTTATTTTTCCCATGCAAATGTGATTAGTGTCTACTCTACAGCTATAATTCACAATGCCAAACTCTCTGGGATTTGAGCATGTTGTTTGCAAATGCACTACACGTTCCTAAGGAAAAATGAAGAGGCAAGGCTGTTGAAATGGAATACTCATCGACACGTTAATGTAGATCCACCCTGTGCCTCCTATGGTCTGTAAGTATTACCTGCCCAGAAACCATTTCTGTCCACACCATCTCTCTTCGAGTGGTTTATGGCTTCCCCTAAGGTATACCACAAGCCTATACATTTACAATCGATGAAGTATTTTACTGTTTTTATTTAGTGTTATAATACCATAAACAAATATATCATTGATGTTTAAAGTTCACTGATGTATATGGAGGAAAACAATATTTGATGTAAAATTTCAGATTATAATTATTTAAAAACTAACATTTGTCATGGCTAAATTGTTTATTGTAAGGAATAAAATTAAAGAACTTATTGTAGCAAGAGCCTCATTTAAACTGTCTTTTGTCATTTTTATTTCTCTGCACTAGAAATAGGTATGGACCCACACTGACTGTTTAATCCTGCCTCTCACCTGATTTGAGGAAGCCTATTTTACCTGTGATAGCTAAATTTCTGCTCTATGAAATATGAATAAAATAATGGGTCTCAATGGGTTTATTGAAAACTATGAATATATGCAAAAATTTTTAGTTTGGAGCCTGGGATTTGGAAAATATACTATCCATATGAGCCCAAATTAAATTTTAAATTTGCAATAAAATAACAGCCTCTAGACCTGTGCATTTAGATTTAAATGAATTAAAATTAAATTAAGTGAAAAAAATTCTTCATGATGTATAGTCTTATGTCTTAGTTTTAGTTCTATTGTTGTAAAGAGACATCATGACCATGGCAACTCTTATAAAGGCAAACATTTAATTGGGGTTGGCTTAGTTTCAGAGGCTTAGTCCATCATTGTCATGGTGGGAAACATGGCAACATGTAGGCAGACATGGTACTGGAGAAGGAGCTTAGAAATCTACATTTTGATCCAAAGGCAGCAGGGAGTGAACTGACTTGAGCTTCTGAGACCTTAAAACCCACCCTAGCAGTAACACACTTCCTCCAACAAGGCCACATCTCCTAAGAGTACCATTTCCTGTAAGCAAAGCATTCAAACACATGAGTCTAAGGGAATCATACCTATTTAAACCACCACACCTGTGTGACCAGGGTCTACCCTTCTAAACAGATATTTCACAGAAATATCTGTGAAAACTGCGAGGTAACAATGAGACTCTAAGATCTCAATCACATTCAACTGGGGAGCTTGCTCAATTAATTGTAGCGACCTTAAATATTGTTGGAATAAAGTATTGCAATACTTACAGGCTGTGCTGTGCAGAGGCCATGAGCAATGATAGCCTCTCAGCTCCTTCCAGAATGGAGTTGGGGAAGCTATTGCAAGAGTTAATGAGCTAATGGCCAGAGAGAGACCATGGGTCTCATGTTGGAGCTGGTCAGACAACCTCAGCAACTACTCAGAGTCAAATAAATTCTGCAAATGCCAGCTCAGCTCTAGATACAGCAGGAGTACTCAGGGCCAGCGTCGCCTTCTTAGGGAACATCATTATATTATTTCTTCTCTTTTCTATATTCTTCTACAATAAAAACAGCACATGGCAAGCCTCTATACTATCCAATCTTGTCTTTGTCTAGCCAAGCCCATTTTGACAAATCTTGGTTGTAGATAATGTAGGTCTAGCACCCATAATACAATATCAGTATCAAAGTATGAGTGCTGGATGCTATTATTTCTCTTTGATTTAAATTTTTGTTTCATATATTTATTATTCATGATATTTTGTTGTCCTATTTTTTAGCTTCATGAAAACAATCTAACACCAGATTCTAAACCACAGGACCCCTTGCTAATCACCATAGAAGTGTCTAAGGACTTTCAGCTCTTCAGTCAGAGGCTGCTTAGAAAGTGAAATACATATTAACTGTTTATAGACATAGTCTGTATGTGATAAGGCTGTGTTTTCATGATGGTCAATTCCTTTATGTTAGGTTTCATTTCAAGATATCCAGATCTCTAAGAAAGGAAAGTGACTTGGGTGACTAAATAGACCCTCACTCAAGAAGCCTGCTTTCTACCCTCACTAACCCTGTCCCCAGCTCTTATCCCCCCTTCAAATTAAGAGCCCAGCTTGAGAACAGAGACTCTTTGATTTCCGTTTCAGTCTCTACCATGTCTTAACTATATGTTCTGAACTCTGTGTGTGTGTGTGTGTGTGTAAAACGTATATATCATCAGTGTGTATCAAAATATAATCAATATCACCATTGCCAGGTTGTTGCAATTAATACAAGCAGAGATGATAGATAGATAGATAGATAGATAGATAGATAGATAGATGACAGATAGATAGATGATTGATAGATAGATAGATAGATAGATAGATAGATAGATAGATAGATAGATAGATGATAGATAGATAGATTCACTTTCCATCGTTGTGGCCCATGTGAAGCCATGCTATAATCAATGATACAATTACCTGTGGCTGTGTGACAAAGCATCTCAAAACTGAGTGGCATGAAATCCATTTCAACAGATCAGGACTCCAGGTCACCTCCCCTGCGTCTTGGGGCACAGGAGTTCTCCCAAACTGCAGTGTAACAACACACAACTAAAGAGGTCTGCTTCAAGCTCTCTCCCAGGCAGAGCTGTTGATGAAAATACGTTCCTGGAAGGCATTTGGACTGAGGACCTCCTCAGCACATTGACCATTGGCTAGAGGTTGCATTCACTTTCTCACCCTCTGGGCCTCCCCACAGAGCAAGCAAAAGAGAGAATCCAAGGTATTAATAAATACAGAGTACCAGGAGGACTGAAATCACAGGGTTTTGAAACTTCCATATCTAAATAGCTATTGCTTAGAATCTGGGTACAGGGTTCAGTTCACATTGAAAAAAGAGGAATCACACCGGGCCCAGAAAGAAATAGGTGGGGAGTGCCAGGGGCCTTCTTTCCCACAAGCCAGGCATTTTATCACGGTCTCCTGTGGTGGCTATTTGTACTTCAGATGACACAGAAAAACAAATGTTTCCTGCTAACAAGAACATAGTGAGTCAACAGCTAAAGAAATCCCAGGGCTGTGTCCAGCTATAATCAAACTGCTTTTATTAAAGTGACAATCGTAGAAAGATCTGGCAACAATCAAAGGCCGTGCTAACTAAATACCATGTTCGTAGGTAATATTGAAGGAGACACATGAGGCTTGTGTTTCTCCTAAGTTTCATCTGCTCTGCACGTTGCACTTGGCAGAGGACAAAGTACAGCACATAGCAGCTCACACATACCTCTACAAACACGTCTCAGCACAGGTCCAAATTCTAACCGCTTGTTCTCAGTTCATTCCAGGATGCGTATGTCATCTTTACCAAGCAAACTCCCAGACAAGCTTCTAGATGGAAGTTCATGCATCAAGTTGTTCCTTAGCCTAAGCCTGAATACCATCCGTAAAAATAGAAACAATAAGTCGGGGAAAGGCTTGAGACTGTACAAATGTGGTAGGAATCTTTGTCTTCTTAAGTGGCTTACAAATCTGGTTCCTTCTGTTGGGCTTCTCCTCTTCTAAGCCATGATGAGTGACTTCTGGGTGTGGAGAGACATCATTTTTTTACATGTATTTGGCTGTGGGTGGTAAATGAATGAGAGATTTGGACTTGTTTCTATGGACTGAAACACGGATAGTTTGATTTTTCCCGACTAAAATCCAGAGACATAAATGAGATGATTCCCCTTTCTGTACCTTCTCACTCTCTGATGATCATGGTGGAAGCTGATCTGAATTCAACACCTCTGAAAATGCTTTGGAAAAGAACCCTCAGAGCCCTTCACCACCATGTGAACATAGAACATTAGTTTCCTTACATGGTAGCATTGGAGATAGATAATTCTCTTGCTTATTCTGTGGAAATGCCTTCATTCCTCCAGATATAACTAAAAGGCCCAAACTCTGAGAAGACTTTAGTAGTTTTGTGTTTGTTTTATCAGAATTCCTCTTCTGCCCACTTCTGTACCCATTTTGTATTCTTCATCATCAGGATTATCTGTCTCTCTCCCCTTTGGCCTATAAATTCTCTGAAAGCAAAAATTGTCTCTTGGACATTCTCTGTAGGCTCCTGGGACAACCACACATTTAGGTCATGACGCAAGAGTGATAATATCCAGTTAGAAGTGTGTTTGACATTTTGAAATGTTAATTTTGAGTTGGGGTGAGATCTCAGTTAGTAAACTACTTGCTGTGTAAGTGTAAAGAGCGTAGTTCCACCCTCATAACCAACATAAAAGAATAAAACTAGACATCATAGCAAGGACATGATTCCAGCACTGGGAAAGCCGAGGCCGGCAGATCTGATGCTCAGAGGCCAGCCTGCATTTCCCAAGTTACTGATGAAAGCAAAAGATCCTGTCTCCAAAAACAACATGGACAGCTCATGAAGAATAACATCTGAGGTTGTCTCTAGCCTCCCCATACAAGAAAACGTGTGGGCATTCACCTTATATGCACTTGGGCACCCCCACACATGAACACTTGTACACAAACACACAAAAATTGAGGTTTCAATGGGGCGAGCTAATGGTAAATAGAATATTCTACATGTCTACTTGGTGTCCAGATTCTGAGGTGTGGATCAAAGAAATGGACCAATGCTGGAGCTTAGTAGTCTCTAGCTGATGATATGTCTACCCAGACATGAGTGAGCTGTGAGGTTAAGTACAATGTCCATGCCTATCCATGTGAATGAAGGTACTCATCCTGACTGACTCCTTTTAAAGGGGAAAAAAACTACAGGCCAGCTTGGGAGAATCACTTATCTAATTCTTTACATTGAAATTGAGTTTTCATATTTCACATAAAAAAGAATTGCTTCATAAGTCACATTTCCATAGAATGGAATCTGGTGTCACTCAGACTTAAGTGACAGTGTACAAGTGACTCACTCTGCAGTATTTGTACAAAAATGAGACACCATGATTCGCTCATTGCCATTTCTTACGGATATAACTGAAAAAAACTGAATATTATGAAAAGAAGCAAAATCAGTTAAAACGGGCTGGAAATGAGGAACGAATGGCAAGCATCTTTTGTGCTATTATTGAGTATATGGAGAGCAATAGTGTGTCGACCCACATTGTAAAGTGCAGAACCCCCCTTGCAAAATGATTCTCAATAGACTCATCCTTCCAAATGTCACACCACACAACAACAATGACAAACACCTGTGTGTGTGGATGTGGGCAGGTGTATGCTAAGCACTATTCTAACACACTTCACATTCAAATTACATTTGACCCTGCTCAACTCTATGAACATCCTCAGGTTTTCACAGTTAAAAACTGCACTGACTTTGCAGTTCAAAAGAAAACGCATTTCTTTCAGTAATAATAAATGCTCAGTAAGAATAAACTGAAAGAATAGATTCTTTC